CGGAGGGCGGCGGCGTGGCCACCGCCGGAGGAGCGCGGGGCCGGTGAGCGGGGCGGCGAGGGGGAGCCGGAGCTCTTGGAAGAACGAGACTTTTACTGCGAGCGAGAGCGGGGCCCCGAGGGCGCGAGCCGTGTCGGATTGTGACTTGCACTGGAGGGGGCTCGGCCTGGCTGCTGCGTGCGGGGGAGGCGTGAGGTAGGAGGCTGGCAAGAGGGACTGGTTAGAGGGCCTGGCGGGATGCAGGAGGGGGCCCCTGGGGCTGGGACGAGAGCAGTGCGGGGTGGGGTGAGGCGTGCTCAGGTTCTGAGGACGTGCTGAGGGTACAGCGGGCGGGGTTCCCCGACAGGCTGCCAGGTGTGTGCAGGAGCAAGGCAAGCGCCGAGGGCGTCTCCGAGGCTTTTGTCCTCAGAACTGGAGGAATGGAGTTGCCATTTTCTGAAATAGGAAGGCAGATGAGGGGCAAGTTCTGGACGTCTCTGTCTCTCTCAGTCTGTCTCTGTCTGTCTCTCTCTTCCTCCCTCCTGACCCCCCTCCTTCTCCTGTAAGCTATCACTTGCCTGTTGAAAAACTGGTGTATGATGTATTCAGTTTTCCACAACAAGGATTTTCCTGTTTCTTATTGGTGCCATTTAACACGTTCCGCTTTCCCCTGTATTTTCTAGAAGCTGGCAGGTAGATCTGTAAGCCTGGTGAACCCAATGTCTGCTTTTGTCCGCGCTGCTTCACTGCCTTGCTGTGTACCTGCCACCCCACCCTCACCCCCCATGAGACACATCTCTGGTTTCCCTTGTGGTCATATTAGCAGCCAGTAATAATCCTGCTTAGACACTAACTTGTTACAGGTAACAAAATGATGCCAATCTATCCTTTAATCTTTATTTATGAGCTGAAATATTCCCATAAAGGGAGCATTTCATTACACTACAGTTCATAAAGGTTAAGGTAGACTAAATGCTGGATTATTTGTCTTTATTTACCAGTATTCAAAATAACGAGTTAGTTATCTAACATCTTCCAAAATTAAACATTTCTGGGGTTTTTTTTTTAGTGAACTCATGGAATTAAATATACTTGATGTATTTTAATTTATTGTGGGAAATTTTTGTTGATATTAATTAAAATCATCTTTCTGTGGCCCTGGGGGTCGTTGAACTGCCCTGTCTCCAGTAATTTGTTTCCGATGTGACCATAATACATTCCAGGCTCCTCTTACCCATTTCTAGCCCTGGAATCAGCCATTTCTCTGGGAGCCTAGTTTTCTCTATGGAAAATGGTATATTGAGTGATGACAGTCTGGTGCCAGAGACTGGTCCTTGTTTGGAGACATTTTCAGCAGACAGAGCTAGGGCATATGTCTGCATTTTAAAAGATGACATCATCCTAGGTTCACAGAGATGCTTCTGATTCACATTCAGAAGTACATAGGATGTTAATTTAACCTCACCAATCTTGTATCTGCTTCTCCTTTTCACACATGGAAACTTTCAGGGTCTAAAACACCAGGATCATTACTGACTTGTTTCATCCCACGTGTGTAGAGCGTGCCAGTAACAGAGCACGTGGTGTCTAATTTGACCTGAAAGGTCAGGGTGGAGAGAACACTTGTTGACAAGATGAGGCTGTATGTTCTGATTGGAGCAAACAGCATGGACAAAGACCCAGAGGCTTGAGAGCACCTAGTTCATCGAGGAAGAAGCAGATACTGTCCTACGGGAGGAGTGCGGGGTTACAGAGTCAGGAAGGTTCCCGAACCCAGGGGGCCTCACCTTCAGTGCTGCGGACCTCAGAGCGTCAGCCAGATACTCAGGCTGTTCGTTTCTGTTTTAATATTTTTTTTATTAAAAGCAAATCTTGTACTTGTTTTTAATAAAAATAGTACTTCCCTCCTTTGTTGATATAACCAGAATTTGGGTGTGAGATAAGGGTAGGGGTTCCTTTGAGGATTGCTCTCCTTACCTCTGCTCCTCAGCAGTTCAGGGAAGGCACGAGCAAAGTGTAGCTGACTTATTTTTGACAATTTGAAGACACGTTTGCATACTAATGACCCATTGTCCTGGCATTCTTCCCCCTACAGAGGACAAAGTGTGGACCATAGTGTCTCACGATTTGCAGATGCAGACGACGGTGGTGGGCTACAACCCAGAAAAATACTCGGTGACGCAGCTCGTTTACAGCGCCTCCATGGACCAGATCAGCGCCATCACCAGCAGCGCTGAGTACTGTGAGCAGTACATCTCCTACTTCTGCAAGATGTCGAGGTTGTTGAACACCCCAGGTAGGCTGAGCATGGAATGTGACTTTTAATTACTGTCTCAGCTGGTGGCTGGAATTACCCGCACAGTCCAGCAGGTGTGGCTTATTATCTTAGCAGTCCGGTCCTCCGAGTGCAGGCAGCTGTGAAAGGAAACCGGCGCCGCTCGGTTTGTTTTCGAGGGAAGGAAGCTCGGAACGTTTGACTTTCTTTTTTAAATTCCACTATTTTTAATTTAGAGGTTTTCCAGTTTTACATGCATAGGTGCGTGTATGTGAGTGTTTCTCATGCTTAATTATCGGTAGTGGCTTCGGGCGAACGTTTATCAGAGCTTCTTGTGAACGTTCAGGTAGTTCCCTTTGAGTTCTTCAGTTGTCTTTTATGTAAAGATGCAAGAACCCCAAAGGCTGTCTGCAGGTAAACAGTTCACAGAACAGTGGTAGAATTTAGGGCTCTCTGCTGTCTACAGTCGTTTAACAGTATCTGCTGGGCTCAAGAAATCTGCCCTAATTTTTTTTCCTGATGGCTTACTTTTAACAATGCTTCAGGGTGTGTGTGTGCATGCGCGTGTGCGTTAGGGATGTAGAAAACCGAGCTTACAGAGGGTACACTGGAGGTATCTTTACCACAAGGGCCATACACTCTGGGGTTCCTGGCAGTAAATTCAATATGTTGACAGAAAACGAAATCTCTCTGTCTGTAGTGTAACGTAGTAGAAATAAATCGTGCTCTGAGTCAGGGAGACATAGGTTGACAGTTTCAGCCTTGCCACCCCCCCCAGGTATGTGCCTTTGGCCGAGTTCATTGAACTCCTGTGCCTCGGTTTCCGGTGTCTTTTCAGGCAAACAGGGATCCTAATGCCTATCTCAGGGTGACTGTGAGGCTGCAATGAGGCAGTATACACTAAGTGCTTATTACAGGGCTTGATGCACGTAAGGGCTTAATAAACAGCTAATAGTACATTGATTACTTTTTAATGTTAAGCAACTTCGGAAGCAGCATTATGCTGGAGACCAGTGGGCTATTTGATGCCCCCAAATCAGTGATGTATTGGAGCCAGTGTTGTAGGGAGAAGTTATAAGCAAGACAGTTTATAATATTTTGAAGATTTAAGTGCTTTTTATGTGCAAAGGCTTGTGCTAAAGTTACAGAAAAGTGTACCTTATGAACTCTAAGAAAGTGAAATCTGTAAGATACGAGAATGAGTGGTTCAGTTAGGGCTCCCGCTACTTGGAGAAGGAAGACGTGACCGTGGCTGGGATGCTAGAATGATGTGTCATTAAAGACGTCGAAAGACAGTTTGAGGCCGGTGAAGGAGAGTAAATGGGAGTCTGGAAGACAGAAGACGAATGATCCTTCAGGCCACTGTGCGGGGTAGTTTAGCAGAGGCAGCGCTCACGTTGAAGAGCAGTAAGAAATAAGGTTGGAAAGTAAAAATGGGAGCAGTGGTGGAGGAAGAGAAATGCGATGCTGGAAATTTTCCCCAAAGGCCAGTGCTGCTCAGGCTTTGGTGTGCATTCGGATAACCTGGTGAGATTAATAAGGCACAAACCGCGGGGCTCCACTTCTGGCTTTCTGATCCAGTAGGTCTGAGGCGGGCTCCAGAATTTTCATTTGTAATGAGCTTTATGGACTGAATTGTGTCCCCCCAAAATTCATAAGTCGAAGTGCTAACCCCTAGTGGGACTATTTGAGACAGGGCTTTTAGGAGATCCCTAAGGTTCTATGAGGTCAGGAGGCGGGGCTCCTACTCTGATTGGCTCGGTGGCCTTAGAAAAGGAAGAAAAGCCTGGAAGAGCGCTCTCACCAGGTGGAGGTGGCCAGCACCTCTAACTTGTGCTTTCAGCTTCCAGAACTGTAAGAAAATAAATGACCGTGGTTTAAGCCGTCCAGCCTGAGACTAGTCCAGCAGCCAGCGAGTTCCCAGGTGGTACTAATATTGCTGGTCTAGAAGCCACTCTGAGAACCTTGGCTGCAGGCAGTGGGGATCCCTTAGGGCCCCTACAACTGTTTTCCTATCCACCTTCACTTATCACAGCCTTTTTGTACCGGGTCCCATTTTCAGTGCTAGGAAGAGTCGCCCAAGGATTATAGAGACTCCAGGGCACTCCGCACGGTTAATGAATCCATCAGCTTGTCCGCGCTCGGTTTCGAGCGTGAGGGCTCCTCATCACAGTTCATTCCAAGGATCTCAATCAGTCTTCAGTCCTGGAGGGGATGATGGGGGTGAGGGAAGGCTGCTGACCAGAAAAATAACCTGGTACCATCAGCTTTACTTTCTTTATTTTCTTCCATTTTCCTATAAACTCTAAAATCAACTTTTACTATTTAAATTTTGTTCTGGTGGTTAAAAAACACAATGCAACTTCCAGACTAGTTTAACTTACAGTCCGGACACCAGGAGTGTTTGGCTTGGAGGTCAGAGAAACAGTTGCCTTTAGTGCTGCTGGGCGTGCAGTTCATTCCTTCCCCTCCCTCTTTGGGACCCTCTGTCCCTTCCCCTAGCCACGAAGTAGCCTCCCACGCTTACTGCCCTCCTTCTGAAAATACAGGATGTTCAAAAATATCAGGAAACATAGGATAAATGTGTTTTTAAACAATACTTCAGTTATATTTTCTAATAATGAGCTAAACACACTTCTCTTCAACCTTCAGACACCTTTTCAGGGGAAGAACTACTAAATTGAAATCAGGCGTGAATTGTTCATCTGTGCAGTAAGCACACTGATTTATTTGTGTTTCCTGACATTTGCAGATTATTATTGTAAATAACAAGCTGTACTTTGAAAATAAGTTTAGCATATCCTTCTCGCCTTTTGGGACACTCTCCGTGTATCAAAATTTCACTCACATAGGATCGGTACTTCATAAATGTTTGCTGGCTGGAAAGAAATGAAAAATATATCCAGCCTTCAAGCAGTTTTAAAACAAATGAGTCCATAGAAATTTTAGGCTACTTGTTCCAGTGCTGAGTCCCGTGGTGTGATTCTGACTTGGTAGAACTTGGTTGGGGCCCAGGAGTGTTTGCCTTTAACAAACACCCATGGGTCATTCTGTGAGCCGTTCACTGAAAAATACCATCTTTAATTTATGGGTGAGGTCTCTCGTGTTGGATTTTAAGGTGTCAGTTCTCAACGTGGGAGAGGATTACAGGGAATGTTGGGGCTTGTCTGACCAGTTGAAATAAAATGGCATGCAGAACCGCCTCCTCCTTCAGCTGAAATAAATTGGCATAGTGCTCCTTTTAAAATCCCTTTCATAGCTAAATATTGTAAAGTGAATTCCAGCCTGCCCTTCTGAGTCACTTTTCACATCCCAGTCTGTTTTCCAGGCTAATTAATCAGAAGAACAGCTGAGGCAAGGAAAAGGCGTGGTTGCTATAGCAAATTTTCCTGTATTACTATGTTCTGTGTGTGTCCAAATAAGAAAGAGCACAATTTAATAAAATCTTTTAATTTGCTGTTTTAAGGAGCTAATGTTTGCTGTAATTGGCTTTTTCCCTCCTTCCTGGGAACATTCAATTTTAAATATCCATTTACTTGTTCTTAACTAAGGCTGAATTATATTGGAACTTCTGTAGTAGTACTTGTGACATCTGTTTGAATACAAAGTATATTCATTATAGTCGTGGCAATTAAAATGAATATCAGATGGGTTTGTAATAGCTCTGCACTTAAAATGTTATTCTTTATTTTAAGAGCCTTGCCCTCAAGAGTTCATCTGGGGCTCTATCGTTTCTAATGACACTTAGGATGAAGAGTTGATTTTGTGTGTGTAGGGACCTCATTTTTATTTTGATAAATGTTTGCTTGTACCATTCCATTAGCTAACAAAAGTAGAGTTACTCATTAATGGTTTCTCATAATTTTACAAGGACAGTAATTTATGACTGCAATGTTATCTTTTCTTTCATTACTGCAAATTTTTAAGAAAGAATCAATTTTAAAGTAATGCTTTTGCCATTCCTTATGGTCATATCTGTTCTTGCAATGTAACTATTAATTCAGTTATCCTTAATCAACTTAATAAAAGACATAGAAACAAAACAAATAAAGTAATTTTGTTCCATGCCAATTTGAAAATAAACAAATTAACTCTACTCAAAGAGAAAAAAACATGAACAGCTATCCAAAACCAAAAGGATGTAAATGTTTTATATTTATATCCCCAGAAGTGCAAATATACTGATACTTGAACTTAATGAAAGGCAGAAATCTCTAAACAATAAACCTACTTCTGAAATAAATACCTTAAGAACTTGAATTTGATAATTAGACTCCAGGAGAAAGTTTCATTAGATCCCACTTAAGTCAAGTCTTAGTCAACAATCCTAATGCTTTTAGATGGAAAAATATTTCTCTATATTTGGACAAGAACTGTTAGCCTGCTTTTAAAATATCTGTATATCTTAGATACACTGCAGTTATTATATTTATTTAACAAAACATTATACTTTCTAATTAAGAATTTTCTGCTGAAGTATTTATGCCCTACATATATAAATATTTATTTAATTATAGAGATATAAAGATGATATGTTTTCTATTTTTCTGACTGTATTTAGTGTTGTTTTCATTGGTTCCCAGTGTTTCATTTCTTTTAATTCCTCAATGTTAGTCTTGTTCTCGTAAGTCATAGTTTTATTGCTGCTTTTGTTGAAAGAAGCAATATAAATTGTCCATCTTTTTGGGTAGTTTTCTATTAGATTTTGTATCTATTGAAAAGGAGTTATGTTCACAATTTTCGCCTATAAAGTAAGCCGCGTAAAATTCAATATACTTTAATGATACCAACCTGTGATTTAGTGGCATCCAGAAGACAAGAAAACATGACTCTGGCATTGTAACTTATCACCTATTTTTAAAAAAAAAAATTCTAAACTTTGGGGAAGCTATCAGGAAAGTGAATTTTCCAAGTTTATGATATGCATTATAAGAAACCATGATGCTTAACTCTTGAAACAACATAGATAAAATGTCGTTCAGCTGTAACTGAAGATCGGCCTTTTCAGTAAATGAGACATA